ATGTATTCTGATTCAGTAATAGATAATGCAACAACATGTTGAAATTGTGATTTCCAACTAACACATGAATTACACAAAGTAAACACGTAGGAAGACGTAGATTTCCTATTATCTCTGTCACCAGCATAGTTAGCATCAGTAAAACCTTCCAATTTTATTCTTTCAGTACTAAACTTATATATTAAGCCAACATTGCATGTTCCTTTCAAATATCTAGACAACCATTTCAAAGCCTCCCAATGTTTGGGACCTAGGTTGGACATATACCTGCTAAGTGTACTAACAACAAAGGCTAAGTCAGATCTAGTACACACTATTAGAAACATCACAAAACCAATGGCATTTGTTTATGGAATTCGTTTCATATATTCTTCTTCTTCTTCATTAGCAGGTGACTGTTCTTTAGATAATATAAAGTGATTAGCTAAAGGTAAAGTAACAAGTTTACATTCATTCATACCAAATTTCTTCAAAATTTTCATGATATATGGAGCCTGATGTAAAAATAAAATTGATTTAGACATATCTCCTTAAATTTCCATACCTAAAATTCTTTTAGCATTACCTAGGTCTTTCATATCAAATTCATTACTTAAAGTAGCTTTTACATCATTTAACAACTTCAAGTTGGGACCAATCAAAAGCATATCATCCACGTATAGCAACAAAAACACACACTCATTATTGTTTGCATTACTTTGATAGTACAAGCAATGATCAAATTCACTCCTTTTAAAACTAATTGTTTTAACAAACGAATCAAAACGTTTGTACCATTGTTTAAGAGATTGTTTTAAACCATACAAAGAACATTTAAGAAAACACACATGATCAGGTTTTTGTTGATTTTCAAAACCTTTAGGTTGATCCATAAAAATCTTTTCATCAAGTTCTCCATGCAAAAAGACAGTTTTAACATCAAGTTGTTCAAGTTCCCAATTGAAATGTGCAACTAATGCAAGCATAGTCCTAATTGTGGTATACTTAACAACTGGAGAAAAGATCTCATTATAATCTACCCCTTCCTTTTGCGTGTAACCTTTGGCCACAAGTCTAGTCTTAAACCTTAAACCCTCTCGTTTGGTAATTCCCTCCTTAATTCTAAAAACCCATTTACACCCAATTATTGACTTGTCTTTAGATCTTAATTCCCATGTTTGATTCTTATCGAGGGAATTTATCTCTTCTTTCATCACTTTCACTCAATCCTCAGATTGTTCACTCCATAAGGCTTCTTCATACGTGTTTGGTTACCTATCAACTAATTCTTCATAACTAGCATAAGGAAGCTCAAAATCAGACTCTGTCTCTAGCTAACTGGTAATCAGACAAAGGGTTTTGCTCTCCTTGATATTCCTCACTAGGATCACTACTTGACCCTAAAGTCACATTCACCTTGTCTCTATCCTCATCTTTTCTTTTATTATTATCTTAGGACAATCTCTTTCAACTATGTCCAAATTATACTACAGTTAAAACATATTTTATTTTTCACACTAGCCTTTGACCTATACACGCTAACAATTTCAAATAATGACCACAAGGAAAGTACTGACACATAATTCATACAGAACAGTCAATTAAATTTTCCTAAGGTCGCATGCAATTCTATCGGTGTAGAAAAATTGGTGACAAATTCACATCGAATTTAAGGCAATTAATTAACATGTAATTCCTAGGTCTAGCAACAAGCAATGATTACCCCAAACCTAATTTCACCCCACACGATGACTTCTAACGCGAAAAATAAATAATTATCCTACACATTCATTTAACTGCAATAATAAAAAGCAAAGAATATGATACCGAGCAGACCACATCTAAAGGTCCGTAAATATCGAGACATGCAAATTTATCACTTTAGGACCACCACTATTCGTCCTAAAGTCTCTGAAAACTGCAGCAACCAAAAAATCACGATCGAGTCCCGAACGCTAGAAGAACAACGCTGTCCAGATTCTACTGCGTACCCTGAAATAGAAAACTTTCAACACGAAAAATGTCAGAAATAATGTAAGGAACAAACTGCATGAAGAGACCGTCATCAAACAATGCTCCACGCACCCGCACGCACCGTCACTCTCTCTGCAAGTGGGCTTCATGCGCCGTTGCCACGCGTCGCCGTATATGACACGCACCCTCCTGAAGGGTTCACCTCTTCCCGTATGTCACGCCGGTGGTCTCCGTTTCCCCAAACTCCTCCTGGATTGATCAGAAAATGCAAAAAAACTGAGAATGATTTTGATAGTTTTTGGACAGCTTTTTCGATCTGATTTCTGCTGTGATTTCTAGACTTTTTTTGGTATGTTTTACAAGCCAAAACCACCACCTTGAAGTTTTGATACCAATTGTTGCGAAAACTCTCTTGAAAGATCTTCAAATCGGTGATTTTTGGGCTCAATCCAACATACCTTTCTCAACCAACAATCAGTCCAATCGGCCCCAAACCACAACCAATTGACTCACCTTGGTTTCTATTCAATCTTACCCACATAGGACAAGAAATAATGATGATTGTGTGATTTTGAGAGAAAAAAAAGAGAATCTCGGCTGCCCCCTTTTGTGTGAGAAAAAAAGGTCTTCAGAAGTGTCAGAACGCTTGTATAACGTGTGTAATTGGTGATTCCTTCATAGTATACCTTTGTGGTGTCTTCTCCTAGCCTTTGTGACCACAAATTATCATCCTTTCTTGTCCTACGCAGGTAAGATTGAATAGCAGCAAAGGTGAGTCAATTGGTTGTGGTTTGGAGCCGACTGGACTGAATGTTGGTTGAGAAAGGCGCGTTGGACTGAGCTCGGAAATCACCGATTTGAAAATCTTTCAAGAGAGCTTCCGCAACAAAAACCTTGTATTCTTCTTCACAGTTTCAGTGAACCACTATAAAAAATCTGTGCTCATTCATGATTTATTTTTGGCTGTTTATTATAGCTCTTTAGAATAGGGATCGGGGCTTAATAGGGAGATATGTACATGTAGCACAACCATTATTTTATAATATTTGGCACGTTTAGAGTGAGTAAACACTTGCGTGCCCGTAGACTATGAAAAATTAGATCTTCCATCCCTACCATCATACATTCGGCTTCTCTATAGTACGCCGTGTAACTGCTGTATCAGGGTGGACGCCATGTATCTACCAACCACGGAGTAACTTCTCTTTTAGCCACTTGTATTGATCACATGCAATGGAGAAGCCGTAGATTCAGGCCAGGCGTATTACAGCGAGAAATGGTGAATGGTAGCAAGTTGACTCATTTATACCCGTTTTAGTTTTACCATATGCAGCGCATCCACCAAACACGACAAAATGTATGCCCCCAGAATTGAAAGAATAGTAGAAAGGAGACAAAGATCCACTTCCTTCATGTGGAAATGCATATCGAGAACTATAGGATGCAAAAGTCCGATTTTCAGCTTGCAATTCAATTTCATGATCTCATTCAAACTATGTCAAGTCGTTTTGTTCATTAAGAAAGTTGGTTTTTATGTTTCTTGGTTTAGAGAATATAAATTAAATTAACTAACTACGTGTTAATTAGTCCAGACAATTAAAAATTTATTCTTGGGTGATAAATGGCTGAAATTTATACGTATGCATTAGATATAATTGATCTTCTTTAATGATATTCAAAAAAGTAATGTTATTTACAGTTGCTCACTATCATAGTCGTCTTATGTGGCATACATGTGGTGGTTAGTGATTTAATACATTAATGTAGTAGTTTTTTATTATCTTAGGTAACAAATCACTAACTGTCACATGTATGTCACGTAAGACGACTACAGTAACGAGCGACTGCAAATAACATTATTTTATTCGAATCTCAATTGTATAAGATGCTTTTACATAAGTTCCATATTCTGTATCTTATTGATCTTCGTCACGGAGAGCAACATTCTTTAATAGGTCTTCTACTTTGTGCATCTTTTCCATAACATAAATCAATTGTAGGATAAATTAAATTTTCATTATATTTATGAAGGTCGGAGTTGGAACGCTTCAAAACTACATCTCAAGTCTTGGGATGACCTTAACGAGCTCTGGTATGTTATCGTCAAATAACATTGACGACACAACGCCAGATGCTTCACGCAAAAAATCTACGGTTTTTCAATCCAGAGCCTGTCCAAGGTGTAACTTTGTTTTTCTACTAAGATTATTGAAATAATTATATAGTGTTAATTCTCAAGTCGAACTACATTTCTTTATCACACATATTTTTACTTGTATCATCATCTTTATAATAAGAGACTTTGAATTCTTTTAGCTCATATCATCGTCTTTATGATTTGTATATTGGTGATGATTGAATAAGCAAGTCAATGTGTCGAATTAAGCACTTACTCACTGAGATAGCCATTGAAGAAGCAAATTCAAGGTCTGTCGAGATGAAAATTTAAATGGTTTATAAACACTTCCAAACATATTGGACTCTTTATCAAAAATCAATTTTTTTTATGTAAATTTAACATTAATATAAAAATAATAATAAGAGAACAATCATATTGTAATTTTTTTACGTGATAAACTAATAAATCCGAGTTAAATTGTACTTGCATTGAAATCAATTTTTTTCACTTTTTTCAACTAGTTTATGCTTGAGTTGTGATTGACGAACACTCCATAAACATCTTTTTCGGAACTTGAGCTTTGAAATAATGGGAATCAAACATGACCTCACTTATTTATGATTATCAAGTTTCGTAAATGATTTTGGAACTTTGTAATGTAAAAAATTGGAAATGTATATGTGAAAGTTTGGTTAGAATGACGGACGTTGAGTCGAAAAAGTTCGAACATATATAGTATTGAAAAAAACTTTTAACACTTAAATGAAGTATGCAAGACTTTGTATTGAGGTCGACTACGACTAGAGAAATTTTCTAATGCTATGAGGGAATTAGCTGGGGCCAGACAATGTAATGCCAACTCAAGTTTCCAACCCTGGTCACCACCCATCAAGGTTAAATATAAATACAAGTACTGTAAACTGAAAAATGAAAACCAAAACTGGATAATTCTTATCAAGCATGATTTGCATTATCCAAAAAAATGGACCAAGATTTATGCCATGGTGGTGCTTAAAATATTGGCACCTCTGTAAGAATACAACCAATCCATTTACAGAAACTAAAAATAAATTCTGGCAATTCAAACTTACATTTCTATATATTCTGAAGACAGGATAGTCCTCAAGAGCTCCTTCAAATTAGCAAGAACATGGCGTGGTCCTAAGCTCTTGACTCCAATAAAATTCAGGAGCTGCTCTAAATCCTACAAAAAGGTTTTCGAGTATAATATAGAGAAGGTCATCAACATTGGCACAGAAATAGCACTGTAGTTTGTGATGAAGTCGATTGATATACAGTTCCGTATCTAATAAAAATCATGTCGGTGGATTGAAAAGGATAAATGCATGTATTGATAAAATTCAGTACGTACTCCAGAGATCCTCTCCACAATCAAATGCAGATACAAAAAGTAGATAATATCATCGTTTAAGAAATGATTTTCATAGAGGGAATTCCGTGCATGATTATGATATATTAAGGCTTATGGTACTGTATCAAGTATCAACAGTACAGATGCTTTAATGTTGGTTTTTTCATATTAGGGAGCAAACTACTAATGCAAAGTTTATCAACGGGAAAGTAGGCGAGAGAATAGATGATAAAAGAAAACTCAGATGGAGGGAGGCCAAATTTAGTTTTCATTTTTGCTACTCCACCTCACCTTCTACAACTGGCTCAAGTCCAATCTCTGTCAAAGAAGACCAAAAGTGACATGAAAAACCTTTGCCCTGGGGATAAGAGAGTTTTTGAGTGTAGTAGGTCAAAGGTTTCCTTGGAAAGTTCGAATATTCTAAAGACGGTTTTCAAGTCAAGTGGGACAACCAAGAGTTTGCTGGAGAGACTTTCAAGAAGAAATAAACTGGGTCAAAAGTATACTACTTGACATTCCTACAACAGAAACCCGGACTTAAAAAGCCTTGGAATCCTTTTTGCAGGGTGCTATAATTGTGAGGAGTGATTTACTCCAGGGCAGTAATACGTCACTGCAAGTATAATGGACTCAGGTGAAATCAGAAATTGTTTCAACATATACATGCCACCTAATCAGAATAATAATTTCTCTATGACAATTCCAGATCATATTGGAGTTCCGAGAGAAAGATAAAGAAGAAAAAGAAATAATAGCCAATTAACAATCAGGATTCAGTCAAATGTCAAAGTTTTGTAAGTAACACACAGCCTTATTGTTGTCAAATTGTCATATAATAGATTGGTATACCAAGGTTTATTCTAGTCAATCTAATGCCACTCGAATTATTGATTCTAAAATCAATGATATCATTAATGGATATAATGATATAAATCTATATATGCTTTCCAGTCGAGAAAATCCTCTGCATAATATAAGATTATCCACAGAAGAATATGTACAAAAAAAGTCAGAAGCCAAATAATGAGCTCACACCAACATCTAGATCTACATCCTTGTGCAAAAAGTACAAAAATCAGGATGGAAACAAAAATTTACAAGAAAAAGTTATATGCCCAACTCTGTCTTGTATCACAGAAAAATATATTCATGTATGATCATTAGTAGAACATCTCTTATAATGCTCCAAAAATTTTGAGTTTGTTTCAACATAGTTTAATCCACAGAAAAATTAAAAAAGTACTACACACCTTATTTAGCAAGAACACAGCATAAGCTGCTCTTGTCGAGTCTTGCCCTTCTAAGAAGAGAGGGAATTCTACCGGCTTCAAGCTTGTCGAACTTATTGAATTAGAATCTGAACTGGACATTGAATGATCAATTGCAGGTGCATAATCACATATGTATGATCGAGAACCTCCTAGCCGTAAAGGATAACGCAAAGGAACTTGTAAATAAGAAGCAATGAGTGAGACAGCCTGCATAAACCACAAATGATCATGATTAATAGATAATAAATCGCCAATTATTGCGATGAAAATTGGCAACTGCCTATAAAAGGAGTGCAATAATCCACGAAAGAGCACTTAAATCCAAAACAGGTATAAAATAGTTGCCAAGTTGATGACAAACTCATAAAAGTAACTGATCCCAGAGACATGATAACGCATAACAATTCCCAATATATTTTAGTTGTCCTATCACAAGTCACAGCAACTAAAGCAGATTATGATTGAAAAGATAGATAACTTCACAAAATTGTGCAAGGCAAAGAGGAAGAACACACATGTGCTACATATCCCAAGGCGGTCGAAGATCTCTGAACCTCCTTCTTATCAGTGAAAAAACTCATCTTCGTAGAAGGGATCACAGTGAGATTCAGACCTGCGATGGTCAACGAGCCTTGATCAACAGGTTTTGATCCAGATGGAACACCTGAAAGTAGTGACAAGATGCACAACAGAATAGAGATTAATCAAAATAAACCAGCCAATTTAAGGAATTCCAAGCTGTAATAAATATGGCAATAACCAAGACCATCAATTTCAGTAGGAATACTTTTATATAAAGCAGAGTCATCATATGCTGCTTGCACTCACTCAGTGCTTATATCAACTTGGATATTCAAGTTGAAATCTGTGAATGAGGTAATGAGATTACAAAAAATGTCGAATAATTCATGGAAACCTTGACATTCAACACCTGAGATAATCAAGAAGCTATGTAGAAAAACAATCCTAACGAAGCCAAGGGAGTCATCCATACAACAGCAATATTAGAGACGCAACCTATGCATCGCTCAGTAATTTCCAAAGATAGTGAATTCTTGGTGCTTGTATGTTGACTCTGCAAATTCAGCAACCTGTGTATGAATTACCAAACAGACCAGACCCTTCTACTTTCTTACCTATCAGAGCATGAATTTAACGCATCATTGGTTTAGAGGATTTCCCAAATTTTAAGCCTTCAGGTTGCAATCTTTTAAAGGCTGAGCAAAATAAATACAAAGTGAAAACAACCAAACAAGGGGGAAAAAAAATTAATAAAAAAATACACCAGCAAATAAGTCATTTGTAATGCTATAATTTTACATACTTTCAAGCGCACACTCGTACAAATATGGCCACGAATATATATCCTTTTTATTTTTTTCAGTACAACATAACATGAGATTAGTCAATTCATCCATTTATGCTAAAAATGCTGGATCTAGGTAAATGTAACTTTGCAGCAACTACTTCATAACAAAACTTACCATCTCTATCCTACGAAATGAGGCATATGTTGACGTGATTGAAGCAAATATATGAATGTTATAGCTGTGTCACTGGTCACGTTTACGTTTTCATTTTAAAATAATTGGAGTAAGTCCTATCATGGATTCATCAATTTCTATGACATTAAGGCATATGACTTATTTTTGGTCTAAAAGAGGTAGAAAATAAAGAGTGACTGCAGAAAAAAATAAGCAGACCACTTGTTACTGTATTTGACTCACAACAATCAAATCTAAATAAACGAGTATGCATCTTTCCAACAGTTAAAGAAAGTTATTGGCTTATCCGTGGTTCAGCAAATGTAGAAATGTATTCATCTACATGACATGTTAACAGTTTTTGTGCTCTAGCTACACATAAGATCCATTACCTGATTTTGTACTGCTAGTGAATGATTCAAGTTCCTGCTCAGGAGCACGTCCAATTACAAACTTCACAGGATAAAGCAGTGAAACCTGTGATAACATATATTGTTGCCTCAGTCTCAATAACTTCTGCAGCTTGTTTAGATGAACATAGCCTTTTTCTCCAGTAAGTGACCTATGTGAGTCCTGCATTGAAAGCATAAATTAAGTTTCAAATATGCAAAAGTAATTTAAAGTTAATGCAACAATTTAAAATCTAAAAACTGATAACAAACGTGAAAAATCTTTCAACAGCTTATTGTGTAGAAAAGATCCTACAAATAACTGCGAAATAAAGAATAGAATTAATCATTAGAAAGTAAAAAAATAGAAGATGCTAGATGCTCGAACAAATGGCCTATATGCTCATATGGGTGATTCAAACTTTTAAGTAGAAACATCAAACATTGTACCAGAACTCAAAAATTGAGAGAAAACCCCGAAAAGAATTTGAAGAAAGAAACGAAAGCACGAGCCAGAAGTAAATTCAGCTAGAAGACGACTCCAAACACAGTCTTTTTCTTTTTAAATCTAACAGAAATAGCATGAAAAAGCTTGTACAACCAAGCCCAAATCTTTCCTTGAGAGAAATCTAATTTTCCCTCTGGAGCAACACATACAAAATTCCGGGTTGGTAAATACAAAGCACAGCCATGACTCAATTTATTAGGAACTAAATGATAGATCAGATAGAAGTAAAACTCATATGAGACATTGACTGGGTATCGAATGTCCAAGAGAGGCATAATTATCATCTCAGAGTCTGTACAAAAAATTCTATATACCAACTTCCGCCAGGTATGATTTGAACCTCTATTCCACAAGTCATCCATGTACCATCAGAACCACACATACATTATTCTCAATCCAGAGAAGATGTGTTATGACACAATGGAGGTTCAGAGGCGAATAACAAAAGAAGTAGTAAATGCAGTAATGCAATCACTTTCAACAAGTACTACCCCAACTAGGAGCCTCGCACTTATATATTCTACAAGTAATACACTCCCATGCTAAATCAAAACTATGTTCAAATTTGGTACCCCACATATCAGATTGCTGGAATGTAAGGAAAGAAGGAAACATGATCTTTATCTTCGTGACATATCCAGAAATTCACTAAGGAGCCCTTCAATCCACGAGGAATATGAATAAACTTTGGCATTTTGTTAACTGATTATTAATCTAATGCATGTAATTTAGCTCCTATAAGTAGGGGCTTAAACACAAAAAGCAAAGGAAGTTGTTTTGTGACAAGAACCAGTTTGAACTTTTAAGTATATTAGAAAATCAAAACTTCCAACAGATGAAGCAGCGATCTAACTGTCAATTATACATCACTGCAATTTTTTTCTCCACAGAACTTAAACCACAAAAAGAAATGGTGGCAAACATCCCAGAAGCCAGGTGAGAATAAATTCTTTTAGAACATGATGATACGAGGTATCGAAGATTAAATTTTATGAAAAAGTCACACATTGGCCACTCCAATTATTAATCAATTATGTGAGGAATAAATATCTTTAGTGGTCACCACGAAATACCATAACAGACATCAATAGTTTGCATACTGATTAATAATCTCCACTCGCTTTTCAAGAACCCTCAAAATGCAATAGAGCAGCACCAAAGGTACATACACCAATACATGTCTCCCTGCACCCCGTACAAACATGTCAGACAATGTCCTACAAAGGCAAATGCCACTCTTTCAATGTATTGCCTTTCCAAAAAAATGCACATCGAATTAATGATTTGAGTAAGAAGTATTTTCAGCGACAAAAAAGGTTTAAGGGCTATGATTTTCAATTAGGCAAGAACAAAAACTACAAAAAATATGGAACTTTAGAACATGTTACTATTTCCATGTCAAGAAACTTGGAGATGATGATAAAGAGTTGTTATAGGGATTGCATCTAGGGTAGTAAAATAGATACAAACAGAGTAGACATGATACGAGAGCATAGATTGATCTCAAGCTTCCCAGAAAATAAAAAACAAGTCAAGTGATAAGAGAAGAACCAATGCCCAAACTAATCTTGAATTAAGGAAAGAAGAAACAGAAAAGAAAAGTCCTAGTCACTGTTGTAGACTGAGTTACCTGCATGCGTTTCCTGGCTTCAGAAAGAGCAGTTCCAGCAACCAATAAAGATCTAATTTCAGAACTAAGTCGTTCCTCCTCCTTTCTTACTTTCTCCTCTACTATCTTTGAATGCATTGACATGTTTCCCATCACCAATTTACGAGATTCCAATTTTTCATTCATCTCGTCAAGCTCATTGGACTGGCTTAATGATTCAGCTTCCACCTGTGCACATTAAAAGTAATCACAAAGCACAGGAATTATAAAACTAAACAATTTAATTGAAAAGGAGAAAGCAAAATAAAGGGAATAAGAGCAGTCTCTTCTATACTTTCTGATATAAGTACTCTTTTCAACTAACAAGAAGTAGTCAGAAAAAGTAAATGAAACTAAAACTATATTGCACACTCTTTTCTTCAGTAGCTACAACTACAAGGGGGACTTTTGTAAAATACTAACTGAAGTAATTGTGTTTGTTTAATTACTTATGTCAAACAAAATGAAAATCAAGACAAAAACCATAAAATCATTAAGTGAAACGGATGAGAAAAATTCAAATAAGGGCCTGTTTGATAGGCTAGTTGCCATGGAAAATGGAAAACATTTTTGATTTCCACCCAAAAATGCATGTTTAATGGCAACAAATTTCCACTGAATTGGTTTTCTTGGTACAACCCTTTTATGCACCATTTTCCACCTTTTTAAGGAAAATGTTTTCCCATGGGTTGGTGGTTTTTCGTTTTCCAGCAATTTTTTTTTTTTCTTTTTTTGTGTGCAATTGATACAAATTCTATCCCCAATTGTAACAAATTTTATCCCGACAATTTCTATGAAAAACAAAGCCAAACGAATACCAAAAGATCCAAAATTTCAATATTTTCTGGGTGAAAAATTATATCAATCAAACACATTTAATTAACAATTCTCAGTAAAACAAGTTATAAGCAATTTAATTCCCTGAAATTCGTTTTCTTTCCACCCAAATTCTATTCTTGCAATCAAATGGACCCTAAGTTCACTTTTCTTGCGACATATTCTGTTTGAAAAATCTCATTACCACTTTTAATCACAAATGTTGCTTCTGACCAGTTATCCAGCCAACCGTTTAAAGAATAAAGTATTAACTTGATTCACTTTTCTGAACAAAAATGAGTAAACAATGTTGCATAAAGCTCACTTATGGACAGTTATTCAGAATGATTTGCAGAGTGTAACATCTTCTAGATTCTGATGGAGTTGCACCTTTCATCAACAGCAGAATGATATACAATAAATCGAAAATATCAAATGCAGAACATTGGATTATACATTTTAGTATAAATATCTTGTCCGTTCCGAAGACCATATAAAAAAATTCCTACAGTAACAACTTTTGATACACTAACAACTTTATAGTTGGAACAGTAATTGTATAAATCCGTGATTTAAATGTTTCACATAACCATTTTCAACAAGTGGTATCCCTTCACTATTAATTGTCATCCCTGGATGGCTATATAGATCCTTGCAATTGCTTGATCTAATACTTACACCTATATAAACAGCTTCACATGATTGAGCACAATGGGAAACGGAAGACCCCCAGTTAATGCAAAAGGGTACGAAAAGAATGGCTATGTAACAAGTGTTTAGCATCCCTTAGGGTCATCACTGCCCAAACTATTAGGGCCAAATTAGGGTACCTGAGTCATTCCCTTTACACATTAAACTACAAGTAAAAAAATGCGAGTTTAATTCCATAAACTATAAAGAAAAATTAGTCATGCTAAAGTATCAAAACAATTATCAATTACAGGCAGTCAATATCAATTTTAGTTTAGAAAAGACCCCAAAAAATATCACTGATAATGGAATAATCATCACTACTAATATAACGTCCAAATACAAAACCACAACAAAATAAGCTTTATTTCACCCCAAAAAAATTAAAAGTAAAAATAAAAGATCATCTCTAAATCAAAAGGTGAAGAATAATACAACAGAATTACTATCAATTCCCAATCATACAATTTAAACCAAAGTAGAAAAGATTTGGGATAAAGTGCATACTTGGGTAAGGGAGTGGAGTTTCTGTTCAAGATTATTTTTCTTGCGCTTTGCTTCTTCAAGTGCGGACGTCAAACTGCAGAGTCGCGCCAGCTCTTGCTCGTAATCCTCCCATTCTATCACCTTCGGTTCTTGATCTTCTTGTCCCTTCTGCTTTTCTTCTTGCACATTCACAGTAGGCTTCTTCGATTCCATTCACAATTCACAATCCAAAAATCATCAACAATATTTAATTTCAACAATAAAAAACGATCTTCATGGTTGGCCCACAAGTTCTTCACCATCGTAGTACGGATTTTGGGGAAAATTTTAGGGTTCGGATGATGTTAATTTAAACCTCATTATATGTGGATTAAAAAACTATGAAACTATTAATCTTTGATTTTCACAAAATGCTGGAGATAAATGGTTGTTGAAATTGACAAATAGAGCACGTTCTTGTTTTTGGAATTACTTCTCAGAGCCCACTTTTCCCTTTCCTTTTTATTACTCGGGCACATACGTTTCTTCCTAATGATGGAAAATAAAATCCTTTATAATCCAATGTTTTTACTATAAAGGCCTGCTTGATTGTAACATTTTCTATGGAAGATGTCACATTCAATGAAATCAATTTCCACTTTGACTGTTAGATTCGTACGTGGAAATGGAATTCAAATTCTTATGTACAACCATTTAAAGCACGTTTTTTGTTAATTCTATGGAAAACTAATTCTTATGGGTATGGTGATTTTTTGTTTTCCAACTTAGGTGGAATTCCTTTTCCTTTTCTTTCTTTGCAATCAAACGGGGCCTAATTGTTAAGCTCGACAAGATATATGTGTGTGTGTGTGTGTGTGTGTGTGATATTTGAGTCTACATTTGCATGTTCATTATTTATCATGATCATATATATATATATATATATATATATATATATATATATATATATATATATGTATGTATGTATGTATATATGTATGTATGTATGTATGTGTGTGTGTGTGTGTGTGTGTGTGTGTGTGTGTGTGTGTGGTTGATATTTGACTCTACATTTGCATCTTCATTATTTATCATGATCACTCAAAATTCTAAAAATGCGACTAAGCATGATAGGCGCACAATAGTCCAAGACGATTTATAACTTCATAAATAACTTCAATGCCCTTTTCCTATAGAAATCAAAGGTTCGGAATTTTGCCATCACAACCTTCAAAAGTTCAAGAATAAGAAATACAATATTTCGGTTGTATTTTGGCTAAATATATTGACAACTAATTTTTTACAAGTGCACAAACAATTTACTTACATGAAAGGACCATAAACTTTACACATTGTGATACTTATATTCCAACTTTAATAGACGTGTTCTTATCCTTAACTTTTCATTAATTAGCATGTTTTGTCTTCACGATGATTTTCATCCCAAAATTCCGTTAAGAGGCGGTAAAAACACTTACTTGTCCAAGGTATATTAAAGGGAAAATTGCAACGGTCCCTGACCTTTTCATTTTTTGCAGACTTTACTTTAACCTTCATTTTGTGCTAGCGAAGGTTTTTAACCTTTCATAAATATGTACTTGAGGTCCGTCTGAAAGAAAACTGTCCAAAATACCATCAGTTGACCGAGAAAATTAAGGAATCAACGATCAATAAAATCGTTAAAAATATCATCCAACAAGGTATCAACATCCTATAAAACTGTCGCGGTGGCAGATAGTTAAAGGAATTTTCTCAATCAACTGACAGTGTTTTGGACGGTTTCCGTTCAGATGGACCTTGTGTGTATATTTATGAAATGTTAGAGACATTCGCTGGCACAAAATGAAGATTAGAATAAAATCTGCAAAAAATAAAAAAATTAGGGACCACTATTACAATTTTCCCTATATCAAATAAGGAAAAACAACTAATGTAAAATTGCAACTAAATATTTATCCATCGCTTTGAAACACTCTAGAATTTTTCATTGAAAGCAGGCATCAAGGACAACATGTGTTGATTGATAGAATGATAATAAAATTTGTTACTCTAATTTTTAAAATTTGAAGTAAAAAAATAAAAAGTTGTGTTTTTGAGATCTATCTAACTGTGAATATTTTCGAATTTCCCTCATTTAAAATTTTGTTTGGGGCTATTGAGTAATCTGAGAGAGTAAGCTTAAACGAAAATTTTAATTCATGAGAATTGTGATTTCTATAGAACACATCGAGAGAGATAAAGAGAGAGCCAAAAAATAAATAAATAATCAACTTTTTGCCATGATGTCTTATACAACTCTTAGCTCTCATTTGACCCTCATTATTCCTCATTAATTATAATTCATTTTTCTTTCACTTCTTTTTAATTACATATTTTTTAATGAAATAATATTACCCGTTCAAAAAAAAATTCTCATTTTTTAACTAAACATTCTCCAAAAAAATTATCATTCATCTCATTGGAACATCTCTAATAGAAAGCATATTTTATCATTTAAATAATATTTAAAATTTTAAAGAGTTTCTTGAAGATACTTTTATAATGTGAAATAATAGGGGTCAAACGGTTTACTTATTTAAAGAAATAATCAGAATTTAGATAATTATTAAAGGATAATAATGAAAATTAAAAATCCTAATTTTAGAATTAATCTGATTAAAAATCGAAATTATTTAATAAATTAATACCAACTAAAAGATGATAAAATTTCAATCTTCTTCAGATCACGGCGTTTATTTTTTTATTAATTTTAAATTCATTATTAAATTTCAACATGAAAAGTGAAATAGTTGAAACTTGAAACCATTTTGATACTTTCTCCTCTACTTTCGTTTATAGAACCTTAGTTGTACAAAATATTATGTGTTTGTTGGCACAGATTTTAAGTCAATTAAAATCAATTTTATGATCGTTATTTCACTATTTTAGTCATCATTTTTGAATTTTTCTCTCACGTGTTAGATTCACTTTATCTCTAACGGTCAAAAAAGCAATTATCAAAATCTCTACTAAACAAGTTCTATATTTGCAGTTGATGAAAACAAGTTCTATATTCGCAGTTGATGAAGTATGAACACTTACTTATTTTCATTAGTGGACGTGGCTTATATTTGGTGCTAAACACATAATTAATCATAAGATTGTTGTAGCTTAGGACATCTCAAAACCGCAGCACCAAATTTGTGTAACTTTCTCACTAAATTGGTGCGACTTTTTCACCATCTTGCAAAGTCATATCCAACCTATTACACCAAATAAACAGTGTTTCATTTATTTTCTTATTTTTTAATTATTAAAAATTAATTTATTTTAAGATTATTAGATTACAAATTATATGACTATACTACAATATTGTATTTATTAACAAATTAATAAAGCATTTTAAAAATATTAGATTTAAGACACAAAATAAAAAAAATACATATAATAAAAATTTACATTATAAATGTTAAACAAAATAATAATAATAAATAAATATTAAATTAAATCATTAAAAATAATAAAGGACATATTAGGAATTAAAATTGAGAAAATTACCTTAAACTTTTTAATATGATAGTAATTATTTTTCTTTTTCAAAAATCAGGTATACCCACTACACCACATCATACAACACTCGTCTACAACTTTTTTACCTCCAATTTTCTCCTAAATTTTAGCCTTGTTTGATGGTCATTATTTGGTCAAAATAATATTTTGAATAGTGATTTTTAAAAAAACCATATGATTGAAAAGTAGGGGGGAAAGTTTTGGACAAAATATCTTATTGTGTGAATGTGTAGTGTTGACCTCGAAAATTGGACCTTCCATATGGCCAACCGAGAGCTACTTCACGTATTCTTCTCTGCGCACAATCAACTCACAGTCAGAAGCACACGGCCGGGACCAGCGGGGGTGGTGGCGATCGTATACACTCCGACGGTCAAGTCAGGTTCAGGTGGTCGGTACAGTACACAGGGCTTGTGCAAAATAATAGAGGGGAGGAGAAAAAAAAAAAAAAAATATATATATATTTGTTATGGAGTGCTATGTAATAAGAGTTTCATTACCTTTACCTCTTGCCAACCCTTAGGTACTTATAGGTGGGATGAACCGTTGGATGTGGGGCACGTGTATACATCTGACGGCATGAGATGTCTACTCATAGGCGTCAATCAGCCGCGTCTGTAGAGTGGGCGGGTAATTGCTTCTTTCGAGTTGAGTTGACATAAAGTTGATAAGTCACATCAACTAACCTCATGGAAACGTCAAATCAATTTAAACCTCACAGGCAGAAAGGATCTTGGTAGAGATCTCCTTCTGAAATTGACGGCGGAACTTCTGACAGAGGTCTTCGGAGTGTACTTAGCCTCGGCCTCAGGGGCGAGGGCACTTTGGTAAGTTCAGAAAGATTGCCTATATATTGCAATGTGATAGCAAGTCGTTGACATTAGGGAGATCACTTCGGAACCACTTCGGATGGGTGTCTAGCAGATCGGAGTGTGTAGTGGTGATAATTCCAAGGTAATTCAGATAGGGGCGTAACAGTGGTCCCCTAAGTCCAAGTATGAATATTTATATCATGGATGGGCTTGCTTTTCTGACCGGATGTGTATGCCTCGGTACCTGGACCATGACTTGTAGTAGATTGTGGGTCGATCTTCTGATTTCGCCGAAGCGACGATCTTAGGCAGATGCTCTAAAGTTTTGCTACTGCGTAAGGAAAACACTAACTTATATGGACCGAAGTGCTGCAGGATCGGATGATGTGATCAACGCATCGACCGAGGCGATGACCTGCAGTGGACTTACGTCAGGTGTGTCTAGGCTTCGTAAAGGTGAGTGAGGAGCTCATCTACCACCGATGCGCTGACTCACAGGGACGACGCGTTGGGAGATGGCTAAAACTTTATAAAGTTTAGGAGGGAACGCAGCGACCGAGATGATGACCCACAGGAGACTCCGCGTCAGGTGTGTCTAAACTTTGTAAAGTTGAGTGAGAAGCTCATCTACCACCGATGCATTGACCCACAAGGGACGACACATTGGGAGATGGCTAAAACTTTGTAAACCTTAGGAGGGAACGCAGCGACCGAGGCGATGACCCACAGGAGACTCCGCGTCAGGTGCGTCTAAACTTTGTAAAATTGAGTGAAGAGATCGACCCGAGGCGGGCGTCTAACGTTAAATGATTTGACAGCTGTTGCATATTTCCAAGGTGACAGGTGGGTGCCATGCCCATCCCCCTAAAAGGCTGCTGCAGCTACTTATTGTCGACGACTGGTGGTAACCAAGGTGACGCGTTTTATACGAGCGTGAGGGTCACAGCAAGATCTAAGGCGTAGATGAAATCTGGCGTTTCGTTTAAACGGCCTAGATTGATGATGCGACGGACGGCCTAGATTGATTGTATTTGAATTCAACGGTGGAGATTAGCTGAAGCGTTCTATAAAAGGCGGACTTTGAGCGTCTTTGAAGCTTTTCACCTTTGTGCAAACAGAAAACTCATTTTGCTCTTATACCATTCGTGATTTTCGGCATTTTTCGAGCGTTTTCG